TGCATTTGTCGATATTGCAAATCACAATCGTTGGAGATTGCAAAAATAAATATTAAAAAAAAATATCAGCCTGTTGTACGTCACAATGAATAAACAATATTTACACCGGGAATGAGAAAGAAATGTGAAAATCTCGGATGTAAGGGCGTACATAAATATTACACTAACTGAAAACCATTCAGGGATATAGACGTTTCCTTTGTCTTTCGTATAGAATAGCACCCTACTTTGTGGGGAAATTGATTTTTTTATCGACTTCATATGTTACTGCTGCATAGTATCTATTTCCCCTAATATTGGATTATTCAAATACTGATACGTATTTCGACTTCACGTAGTATATGTGGTAGAAATTGAATCGAATGATATCAAATATAATGAAATAAAAACTCATTTATTCATGTAGAACATTTTTGCTACTTGTGAATGTAATTTTTTTTGTATTAATATATTGTACTTTATCGTATAACCATATATATTATTATATACACAAAAATATTAATACCGTAATTTAGGAAAATAATAGTATATAATATGTATAATAATAAAGTAATAAAAGAAGAAATCAATAAGTTTGTTTTGTACTAATTATTAAGCAGTAAAGCTTTATAACTCTATTAGTTTATAGATTATACATAATTGGAAGCTTTTTAAGGGCAGATTCTTTTTCAGTAGTTTTAATGAATTTGTTAATATCAAAAATTTTATAATTTCAAACACAATATAAATTGTTAGTGAATGAATAAAATATACATTTATATATTTGTACACTTAGTATACAGTGTTTTATTTATATGTATATCTGTGCCACCGCTAGATATGGTATCCAGATAAAACTGGGTATCATTTTTACACAAAAACACAAGTCTTATTTTGATTTCACAACTCGATTCACGCATACGTGCCGATTACGAAATCTCGATTCCTTCATATGCATACGACCTATCCAGATGATACATCAGATGTGGCTTTCCACGGTACTAGCATACTTCCGTTTGCGCACTGTATAGTATAAATATGAATGATAAAGGGAAATAGAGCTTGAATGACGGGCGTGCATAACAATAGTTTTCATGTACGGGATTTTCATTTAATGTTAGACATAGACACCATAGGTATTTACTATGCATTGTAAATATACTGGCTTTTAAAAAAAAAAACATTCAATTGAGTTTCTTGCCAGTTCTTCTGAATTAGATCTATATACCGAACTGGACGGTAGGGAAAAAAAATTATAATGTAAAAACTTGACGTTAATAAGCAGCTAAAATGTCCTACATGAATAAATTATTTTTGAATTTGAATTTGAGCTAATTTTATTAAGTGAAAGTAATCTACGGAATCACTGCTATTTAAGAAATTCTGTCACTATATTACCGAATTCGCACACTGCTGGTACAACTTGGTAAAGGAGTGTCGCTTCAAGTGAGCCTTACGACTGCAGAGCATCATACCAGACTATAGCCCACTCATTTTCCTACCAATTGTGCCCTCTAAAAGGAGGCCCTGCAGAAAAGATCTAAAAAATACGACCAGTTGCGCAAAAGTCGTCGCAACATTTTGGGGTAAGTGCATTTAACACTGCCTTTCTTCCGACGATCGCAGGTTTGATTTTTGGCATGATACTAATATTATAAATATTTGTAACAGTCTAGGTGTTTTGTGTATATTATATGTATATATATATATATTGACAAAGAAACACAAGCTCTGCTTAACTTTGAACTAGATGGCGCTGTATAAATTGTCTTGGATTATTACTAAAACTCGCTAGTTAATTTACCCGAGTATAACTGGGCACCGGTTATTACATATAGGTAAGTAAAATATGAGAGATACCTTAAAAATTGTACATTCTAAGACTAAAATAGCGATTACCATTCAATAGAGTAACCCCAAGGGAAATCTAAGGGAATTTATAGAGATAGACCAATTAGTAATCAGTTGTGCGGAAAATTTGATCCCCTGATAACGTACATTGGGGAGGGCTAACTTTACTAGACTATTTTGGATAGCTAATGTCTGGAAAGTTCGTATTGGTGTAATCTATAATCTATTGGTAAATAATTCTGAACAATTCACACAGTGGTCGTTGTTTGGTTGGAGAACGGGCAAAACTACGCTTTCAAGCTATATCCGTGCTATAATCAATACCTGATGATGCTTCATTCTGAGGCTAAACACATGTGGCAATATGGGTGCACGAGTACACTCAATGTCGGAATTTGGTTACGGTTAGAACGTTGTATGTAGTGGTCGTCAAATATCCAAACTCAATATTTGTGGTCTCACACATGCCAATAGTAGCGGTTTTAAACAAGATAATATAAATCATTTAAGTAATTCACACAGCGCCACCTAGTCCTAGTAAACTCAATATTTCGCTAGTTATATTTGTATTCAACGTTGCAAACCTATCTTTGTCGATTAATTTAATTTGTTATCGATGTTTCTATAACTAGAAGCTCAGTCAGCAATATAAAAAATAAAATTTAGGTACAAATAATCTTGTAGTCCCCAAATTTTGTTTATGTAAAGTTAATATGTCTTTTATGGGAATGGAAATAAAATTACATTATAGTACAATATTAAAAGATATTTTTGATCTATTCATTAAATTCGTTCAGCCGTTTAGTCGTGATATACCTTATCACGACTAAACGGCTGAACATACAAAAAGACTGTGGAAGTAAAAAATAAACATTAGTATCGACGAAAAGGATAATTAGAATAGTTAGACAACGCTATTAAGTTCTCTAACGAAAACTATAGAACAAATTAATTCTACGAATATATAAATACAATGAGAATTTAGTACCTTTTAAAAATGTTTATTCTAGATTTGGAATTACGGAGTGGCAACTCAGAATTACGAAGTGGAAACGCAAATAATATAACTCCAAAGTAAAGATTCATAATGGGACGGCTGGGCAGTTTTGGGGGGTGGCAGAACAAATAGAAAATGTAATTTGCAGACGAGACAAATGGATCGAAGCCGAGACAGCGGCAGCTGTGCTACAACTCTAGATCTTTCTGTCGTTTTACATTATTTATAAATTGATTCTTTGGCGAAATGTATTGGACGTACCGTATACTTAGTGCGATGTTATTTTTTTAAATATATTTAGAATGATGGCCGTAGAAAAAGATCAGAGTCAACAACATTTGATATGTAGTAATTAGTCGGGAAAGACTTAGCCTTCAGCCGCTCTCAGCCCTCATAAGTTCTTCCGAGGGTTTGAAGTTCTATCTATACTCGTCCTTTATCGTTCTGCGAAGCTGATGGGCCAGATGCGGCCAACAGCATTGGAATAGTTTAAAAAAAAAACATTAGCTAAAGAGAAACTCTCTGATGTTCAGAGAGTTTCTTATAGACCATGATCTTAATAAAAAAATATTATGTAATTGTTGGAATGACAAACAAGCTGACTGTTCACGGTAAGCAGTAACCATCTACATTAACATATACATGAACAGTACTACTAATGCGTTGCCATCCCGGGGGACTAAGATATCATACCTTTTAATATGTAATTTCACTGTCTAATTTGGATTATACTATAGAAACATAGTTTGCAAAACAAACCGCTTGACTAAAAGCTGGGGTATCAAAATGGAGGATTTTTTATGGTCAAAGTTTATATGTATTGCAAGTATACAATTTAAATTAACACTGTAAAGAGGCAAGGCTTAATTTTAGATTATTAATTATATATGTGTAAAAAAATATTTCATTTACTTTAAATATTTTTTCGCAAACAAATAGCCACGTTTTCATTAAATAAATGTAATATTATCAAACGAAAACATCAATCCCCACTCTAATTATATCAAACACAAATTTTACATTAATTCTATATAGCGGCTCAGTTCCTGTCCCAAAATAGCGTTAAATATTTTTAGCGATACTGCATTGCGATTTGATGTTCTATTATGATTGTATGCAGACGCTGCATCTCGCAATCATAAATCGCCGATCGCCGACATTTAATGCTCCGTGTTTGCTTTCCCATTAATTTGTTCTGCCAAATAAACAACGGAATATTCTCAAGAATTATTCGACATTATGCCTACGGCTAACTTTTACTATCCCACCGCTCGTCATCGACAGAGAATTCCTCCCTACACACACCCAAAATAGTCTCGGACAGTGCGGTTTCAGAGATGCTTCCGCCCGTGTACACTTAGATTGTGTAATGAACTACCTGCGGAAGTTTTCTTTAGAGACTAAAGCATAGGGGTTTTCAAAAAACCTTAATATACCCATATAATATAAATATTAGGGTTTCTTAAGGGTCGGCAGAGGAGTTTCATGTGTTCATACGATAAAGTAACGGTTTGCGATCAGATGGGCCGTATGATTTGTTATCATCATTGTAGTATAAGAAGTTTACTTTAGATACTGTAATACTAGCACGTGTAATCGATGTACAATTTAAGAGTAAATGTATGGTAACAAAACACATTCGCCGACGGTACAGTGCGTAAGATTGTTGAGGTGGAGACGCGGGTCTCAACGCGTACGTGAGCCGACTGCGTATTCGAGGGTAATGGTGTTTCACTGATATGTCACATTTTCAGGATTCCCCGCGAAATTACAAGAAATTTACATTAAATGTCGTAGGTTGAGAATTGCGGCAGTCCGTTAAGACTTCTTTTTTACTGATTTTGAACCAAGTTTGAAAACATTTCAATGCCACTAAGACTAAAATTATTAAGTGTAACTTACACTTACAGTTAAATCCGTAATTTACTATATTACCGCCTTTAGACCAACCATTCATCCTGCCTGAACACTTGAAAAATATCATCGTAATAACGGCTTAAAAATTCAGCTATTCGATAACTAAAATCATAATGAAAAAGTTTTTGTATAAATGTATTTTTATTACTTCAGCGTTTATACCGATGTGGTGGTAGATGTTTATGTACCTTGATTTGTTATGAGTACTAAACCTGTAACCAACCATGGCCTTTTAATGGATGATAATTGTTGCAAACTCTTTGCACATTTTTATATATTTATTTTTCTATCAATTTTGAATGTATTTTCTTTTAGAATTGTCATATATTTTTTATTGTCACTTTCCTTTTTTGCCTACAACCGTTTGTACATATACTATCCTCAATATAAGTATTTACCATTTTCTATCCATTGTTTGATTTACATTACACATACAGTCCACTCATTCTATCACCTACATTTTGGTCCTTCGAGGCAAACAAAAAAGAATACCATCCCAATATTTTCATTTATTGTTTCATTCGTAGTACATAGTTTCATACATATATTGTAGTGCCATCAGTACCATCATTCATTTATGATCACTCGCAGTAGAAGTAAAATCATGGCATCACATGACGTTCCTACTACATCTCACGCCGAACCATTATGTCATAGTCGCGGTTCATCGATTGTAGACGTAGTTGATAGGATTTGTGTAGACGACGGCGACGCCGCGTGTAGTTTGCGTTCAGCACAATCCAAATCTCGGGTTTCATCTTCATCCGTAAAGGCGCGTAGGGCTGCTGTTGAAGCCGCTTACAAGCGACGGCAGTACGAGCGCGAGGCTATGCTTGCACAACGTCTTTCGGAAGTTGAAGATGCCGAATTCCGTGCCGAGATCGAACAAATCAATGCGGATGCGGACTGTGAAGGTAGCAGGCGAAGTAGGAGCACATCTACTCGTATGAGAACACAGCAATGGGTAAAGAACAATGTAAATACTAAGGTATGTGACAACAGTGAGGAACAACGCGAGGTCCCACAGCCTAGCTATCTGGCACCTACGGTACCGGTAGCCTCTCAGGCTGCTGCTTCGCAAATAGCATACACCTCTCGTATCCAACACATGTAGGTTCTGTTCCCATACATCCAGACAGGCGGCCATGCCACGACCGACCTCACACTCCCTGGCAAATGTAGCGGGTGAACAACAGCATGTGCCAATATTAGGCAATAACGATGGTAATTCACAATATTTACAAATTACCGCCAACATGGCTGATGCAGCCAATGCTTTAGCCACAGCTCAGGGCATGCGGAAGCACTGTAGGACAGAATTATTTCCGTTTACAGGGGACGCATTACAGTGGCTACAGTTTAAAAAAATATTCAATGTTTCTAAACCGTCTTATTCTCCTGTAGAGAACGTTGCACGTTTACAAAACGTGCTCCGTGGCTCCGCACGAGAAGCCGTCTCTTTACTTCTCGTCTCTGCAGAAGATCGCGAAGAGATCATGTGCGCACTCGAGCGTAGTTTTGCGTCACCCGAGATGATCGTCTTCGGCGAAGTACAAACGTTGAAGTCGCTACCGCGGTTGGGTGTGTAAAGAATTAAGTACTATTGCGAACAAGGTACGAAATAGTATTTCTACTATAAAATTGTTAAATCGTAGGGAGTATTTACATTCTCCAGAATTATTTTACTCTATTTTAGGAAAATTAAATCCTAACATAAAATTAAGGTGGACAGATTACGCGTCTGAATTTAGTCAAGCGAACCCGGACCTATCTAAGTTAGAGGTTCTGTCTGAATTTTTGACAAGAGAGCACGAGCGTCATGTTAGTTTCTGCCTATCTCCTGAAGGGGCAACTTTAAACACAACAGAGACATAAGTCATTTTGCTAATAAACAATTTAAACGTGAAAATATACATTCTACGTCTCAACATGATTGATATATTAATTATTGGTACATTTTTGTAAAAGTATAGTTACATATTATTTGTGACGAATTTAAAAAATGTCGATACAGATGGAGTTGGCTACGAAAACGTAAGGTTTGCTACAAAACTCGACAGATTTCACATTTATGGAACTTATTTATTATTTTTATTGTTTGAATATAATATTCGTCATCATCCTTTTCCATGGTAGAATTATAACGTTTTCGATCCCATCAATACACTGTCACGAATAATACATATGTGTAACTGCAACTCAAAAAACCGAATAATGTCATGTTGAAAGATTATATTTTTATTAGTAAAAATGGCCAAACAAAAAAATATATCAACATATACAAAGATTATTAAAAAAAGTACCTGTCACTGTTTTGGACCAATGGTAAAAATGACAATATGCATTGTTAGAAATCAGCGGCTCACATTAATTGAAAAAAGTTGGCAAATATATGTAATTAGAAGAAAGAAAGAACAAAAAATCTGTGAATGGTTGTTTAAAAAAAACCATTAGTTTGTAGATTTTTATATAAAAGCAAATATCAGATAACATTAGTAAAACATTAGGGCTATAACGTCACTTGGTTTACAACAGTCATTGCACAAAGAGACATTGATTATGAGAAGTGTAGTTAAAAGATTTATAAGTTTTTGTCACAAAAACTAAACTATATCATTGGTACGAAAAAGGCATTTGTCAATCTCACAAAAACAATGAAAGGAGCCTGTCGTACGTTATTGGGTTGGAGTTCATACGGTGTGAGTTGTAGTAAAAAAAATTCTACTGAACGTATTAATTATTGTCAGATTGTTCGACAAAAGTGTGTTGTCCAATAACACTAAAAATAAAATGAGCAAACAGTCTCCTAAAAACGCTATAGAACTACTTGATCAGCCCGTTAAAAACTTGAACATGAACAACGCATTTTCAATCTGTTCAACGTTCTCATCAACTGATTCCACACTGGTCACTTTTACATCGAGTAACTTCTCGTATTTGTGATGTTTTTAAAACCTTTTTGGATAGTGGATTCCCTCAAAAGTAATTGATACCCGGGATACTTGCTGCGTCCACCACTTTATCAACACACAGCAACATAACAATTAGTTCTTACATGCGTTCAACAAGATACTTCGAAAAATATCCTGTATCAAGACACAACCAATCGCGAAAAGATTATTAATTAAACTTTTATTTGTGACAGATGAACGAAAAGTACTTGCGGAGAATTTGGAAGCATATGCTCTGATAAACTATTTTACCGTCCGAACGACTTTGACGACACAGAAGGATCTACAAACATGTGGGTTTCTTCAACAAGAAATGCTCATCATGTCGTTCCCTAAGACAAAAGAGAATGACAGGTTATAAAATAAAAGACAAAAAAATATTGAACCATTTGTTCGAGATCTTAAAGTTAAACAGTCTGCAGATTTCCACCATAATTAATTTGAAACCTTGTATACCAAAGCCCAGTTTGTTGTATAAAGAATACTACAAAAACCTTATTTGATTTGATTATTTTTTTCAAATATCCTAATTATGTAATAAGTACTAATAAGGGACATTTTCTAGTTATTTGTAAGTCAGGTTTAGGTCATTTAACAATAGAAGTGTTCCATGAAGAGACTATTTTTATTAATAAAACATACATATTTATTAAATAATTACAACGGCTATTTTAATTTGGTTTTCGTGGATAAAACTACCGAGAGTATCCTGTTCATCCAGTCTCAGTTTCCTGGAAACATAATTTTTTTAAATGTTCATAAATTTGGTATATTTTATTTTTTTGACTGGCCCGTTCAAAGATCTTATAAAAATAATGTTTCTCCTTAAGGCTAAACGTCAACTTTTCAGACCTTATATTTTTATATAAAAATGTTTTCCAAAAATTTTGATTTTCGTCCCTCTTTAGAACCACCCATATATTTTTTAGTACAATATTAAAAGATTTTTTGATCTATTCATTATAAGTATTTACCATTTAGTCGTGATATGTTTGATTTACATTACACATACAGTCCACTCATTCTATCACCTACAATAAAGACTGTGGAAGTAACACACAAATAAACATTAGTATCGACGAAAAGGATAATTGGAATAGTTAGATAACGCTATTAAGTTCTCTAACGAAAACATATATATGACCATGAAATTAATTCTATGATATATATAAATACAATGAGATTTTAGTAGAGGTATTTTAAAAATGTTTATTCTAGATTTTTATATAGGTTCATTGCAACTCAGAATTACGATATGAACGCTAAAATAATATAACTCAAACATAAGTAAAGATTCATAATGGGACGGCTGGGCAGTTTTGGGGCGTGGCAGAACAAATAGAAAATGTAATTTCAGACGAGACAAATGGATAGCCGAGACAAATGAATAATACAACTCTAGATCTTTGTGTGTTTTACATTATTTATAAATTGATTCTTTGGCGAAATGTATTGGACGTATCCGTATACTTAGTGCGATGTTATTTTTTTAAATATATTTAGAATGATGACGTAGATAAAAGATCTGAAGTCAACAACATTTGATATGTAGTAATCAATCGGTGGGAAAGACTTAGCGCTTCAGCCGCTCTCAGTGGCCCTCATAAGTTCTTCCGAGAGTTTGAAGTTCTATCTATATCGTCACATGTTTCTCTGAACGAGGCATCATCAGCGCTGGTCAGATGTCCACACGAATATTCGAATAGTTTCACAAAAAAACATTAGATAAAGAGAAACTCTCTGATGTTCAGAGAGTTTCTTATAGACCATGATCTTAATAAAAAAAAATTATGTAATTGTTGGAATGACAAACAAGCTGACTGTTCACATGTAAGCAGAACCATCTACATTAACATATACATGAACAGTACTACTAATACCGTTGACATCTCAGGGACTAGAGATATCATACCTTTTAATATGTATGATTTCACTGTCTAATTTGGATTACACATAGAAACATAGTTTGAAAACAAACCGCTTGACAAAAGCTTGTTTATACAAAATGGAGGATTTTTTTATAATGAAAGACAAAGTTTATGTATTGCAAGTATACAATTTAAATTAACACTGTAAAGAGGCAAGGCTTAATTTTAGATTATTAATTATATATGTAGAAAATGTAAAGAAATATTTAATTTAAATTTAAATATTTTTTCGCAAACAAATAGCCACGTTTTCATTAAATAAATGTAATATTATCAAACGAAAACATCAATCCCCACTCTAATTATATCAAACACAAATTTTACATTAATTCTATATAGCGGCTCAGTTCCTGTCCCAAAATAACGTTAAATATTTTTAGCGATACTAAAACTTGATGTTCTATTATGATTGTAAAATACGCTGCATCTGAATAAATTATCGATTGATTGCTCGACATTTGTATATAGATGTTTGTTTTCCGATTAATTTGTCTGCCAAATAAACAACGATATTCTAAAAATATATTCGACATTATTAACGGCCTATTACAAAATGATGCCACTCGCTTTCGTTTAATCGACAGGATTTCCACACCAGTAATACACACACCCAAAATAGTCTCGTGACAATCGGTGTGGATTTCAGTATGATGCATTCCGATCCTTGTAATAAGATTGTGTAATTAATACCTGTGATAGTTTTCTTTAGAGACATAAAGCACTTATTGTATTTTTTAAAAACGTGATTTATCTTAATATCAAATATAATATAAATATTATATTTTCTTAGAGGGTTGATGTCAGAGGAGTTTCATGTGTTCATACGATAAAGTAACGGTTTGCGATCAGATGGGCCGTATGATTTGTTATCATCATTGTAGTAAAGAAGTTTACTTTAGATACTGTAATACTTCACGTGTAATCGATGTACAATATTTTATTATAAATGTATGGTAACAAAACACATTGTTCTAAATATTACAGTGCAAATAATTATTATTTATATATAACGCGGGTCTCAACGCTTTGTTTTACGTGATCCGACTGCTTATTCGTAGGGTAATGGTGTTTCACTGATATGTCACATTTTAATGGATTCCCCCGAAATTACAAGAAATATATTTACATTAAATGTCGTAGGTTTCTTTGCGGCAGTCCGTTAAGACTTCTTTTTTACTGATTTTGAACCAAGTTTGAAAACATTTCAATGCCACTTTAAAATTATTAAAGTGTAA